ATAACACAGACTAGAATTCACGCTTACATTTCCTCTATGCAAATGTGGCAGATACCGCAAAAGTGAATCACAGAAAGTAGAAAGGTCCTGAGACCTTAAAGCAACGACTGAACTATACGGATGGAATCAGGGAACGGCCTGAAGTGAATGTGTTCCTGAACCTATTTGCAGATCGGAAATGAAGCGTGTCCTCCCTGACATAGTGCTCTAGTGCCTGCAGACCATTCCCCACTCGTTTAGGAGCGGAGTGGCACAGAAAACAATTAAGGTGCATCTCTCAACCACTGGGGATGAGGTTTTCTAGCTTCTTCTTTATATTCACCAAGACTACAGTAAGCAGCTAGCTTCATCATCTAGAATGGAAGAAAGGGCTGGGGAGCTACTCCTGAAAAACCAGTCAATGAAACACCCATGAATTACAATGGTCCAAAATGCAGCCCATCATGGGTTGGGTGCAGGACCAGGTAACCTTTGAAACCTACTCTGCCTGGGGTCCCCAAGAGGCAGTAGTTAATAACAGCCATCTATAAGATATTGCATGGAGCCCTGATGGAGTAACGGTTACCCAGTGGGCTGCTAACCAAAAGGTTGGCAGTTCTAAACCACCAGCCACTTTGTGGGATTAAGAGGGGCTTTCTACTCCCATAAAGAGTTACAGTCTCAGAAACCCACAGGGGCCTTTCTGCCATGACTTTTAGGGTCTCTACAGTTTGGCATTGACTGGATGGTAATGAGAAATGAGATAAAACATAGCGTTTACTGAAGAGTTACAAATCAGGGAAACAAAATGCACAGCGGTGAGATAGTCAAGATGAGAGATTTTAACACTAACCACAACCAAAAAGAACTCGTAGGTCAAGCGTAAAGACGATGCTCACGGGGATCTAAGATGGTGGAGAAGGAGACTAGCAGCTCTTGGTACTGGATTGGGCACGAAATCCGTTTGCTTTCTCGGAGGAAATAGCACCAGGGTTCACCTCAACGCAGAGCTGCTCAATTGGTATGTCTTGCCATCAAGATGGTCCAGACTTGCCATAAATGCTGATTCCTCCAGCCTTGGGGCGGCTGGACGGGCAAGGGACAACAGAGTCTCGGAGGCTGCCTCCAGCAGTCAGAAGCCAGGCACTCGGCAGAGGGTGCCGCGGGCTGAGTGGGAACTTGGTCAGGTACCCTACAAACCCCAAAGGAGGCAAGTACAATGGGGACGCCTTGGGCTCAGTAGAGCCAAGCAAATAATTTACTTCAGCTGTCAGCGAAGAGTATAACATTGCCTTCTGCTGTGCAGCCACTGTGAGTCAGAATGGACACTCCATGGCAATGAATTTGGAGCTGTTGCAAGAGACGGGGACTCACTGGCAGGGTTGATGCCCGAGGATCATTGGCAACAGGACCCGAATCCCAAAGTTCAATCTGAGAAGCAGAAATCAGGAGGGCTGGGTAGGTACCCCGGTGGGACCTCTTCCAAGCAACAGCTCCAAATCTTGAACTTGGGCTATATCAGACCCTGTGTGCTAGGTCTCTACCAGACCTAGCAGTGGGTGAGTCCGTCCTTAAACAGAATATGGGCCGCTTTTTAAAGTCAAGGTTTATTAACTTTTGACACCTTTGACATGGGTGAAAAAGTACAAATGGATTCAAATTAGATTCTTATTACTCTAGACATTCCAAAATCATATTTGTCAAGGAAAGAAAAAGAACCGGTTACATTTTAAAATACCCTTTCCACTGTTATATGAACCATGGCTTTTCATTTTTATCATTTTTATGTGCACTTCCCCCCCCCCCCATAACTATGTAACTATAAATCCCATCTCCCATCATGTGGACATTTTTTATTAGGAAATGTATGACAGCATTTTAACACAGTCAGCTATAAATCCATTTTGTTTATGAACCTGGTTCAAGTGCCTTCTTAAAACTTCTTTTAAAAGGATGTTATTTAAGTGTTTTTGACACATGCAGCATGAATATTCTCTTGATGCAGTGCCTAGGATAGGGAACCTTGGTGGGGGGGTCAAAACCACCAGCCAGCTCTGAGGGAGAAAGAGAATGCTTTCTACTTCTGGAAAGATTTTAGTTTTAGAAAACAAAATTCAAGTTCCACTCTGTTCTTACAGGGTCATTATGAGTCAGAATTGGCTCAGTGGCAGTGAATTTGGGTTTTCTGAGGGGCTTTTATAAGGAACCTTGATGCTGCTGTGTTAGGCATTGAATTGCTAGCTGCCAAGTTAGCAGTTCGAACCCACCAGCCACTCTAAGGGAGAAAACGAGCCTGTTTGCTATTGTAAAGATTTACAGTCTCGGGAACTCTGTATAGGCAGGGTCACTATGAATCGATTATCAGTTGGATGAGAGTGGGTTTTTTGGTGTTGTGCGCCTAATACCTCTTACAATTGAGCTCCAAGCATAGACATAAAGAAGTAGAAAGCCATTTTCTCACTGAGCCCCTTACAGATGTGTCCAAATCGTTTCCATTTTACTCTAGGATAATGTGATAACATGATCTCCGCTCCCGCCCCCCCGCTTCTCCCCCATGGTGTGCCATGACAAAGATGTGGAAGAGAAAGGACGTTATCAAAACTGCCAGCATATTGCAACCCCGGGAAGATTCTTTTTCCTCATCTTAATCTGCTGAAGGCAGAGCTTCACTTTGCAGAGCTGAAGGGGGAAAAAAAATAGAAACGGGCCCTCCCCAAAGGAAAAGAAAGGCTTGCATTTTATTTAAGTCATTTATTATGCTAGATGGTAAATACGTGAACATGAATGCAAGTCATGCCCAGCGTGGCCACAAAAGAATTCGCGACAGAAGCCAGGTATCTGGCCCGTCAATCACTGTCTTTATCCACCAGCCTGTCTCCTTTCAGATCATCTTCTCAAATTATCCATAGGAGATTTATCCTCATACCCAATAAGAAAAATATGTCTAATTATATCCAGCCATTTTAATATGAATGAGAATTATGTGGGGATGCTCCACTGCCAACAGGCGGGTTTTTGCCAAACAATTCCTTAAGAAAGAAGAGGCGGCTGCATTGTTTCCATAACGCTCCATATAAAAGAGCCTTTGGAATGAGGCTGACTTGTCCTGCTTTAAAAAGCTCCTAGGTAAGTGGGAGCCTGCGGGGACCTGGCTTCTCAAGAGGGACACACTTGCACCACGCTGCCCTGTCGCCCAGGCACGGCTGCAGCTGCTTGATCTGGTACTGCTGCCCTTTCTGATGCTGGAGGTTTTGCATCAGGCTTTCCCACAAAATCCGGGGCCTTCTGCTAACAGGAGCAAGTCATGCTGCAAAGGGGATTTCATTTTTCAAGTTAACTAAACAAGTGTTTTCCTCATTTGCTTCACAGAACGGCTTCACTCCCAGGCTACATCTCCTCACTTTCTGACAAGGTAAGATCTCTACTAATCAGTCCCAGCAGACCAAATGAGAGCGCTTCTGAGACAGAGCTCTTTCGTCGAGCAACTTCTGAGAAAGTGCTTGTCTGAATACACACCTTCCTTCAAACAAACGCACTGGAGGAACGTTCTGGAGAGGGCGGGAGCGGGCAGGAGTGAGGGCTTTTCTTTAGAACGAGGTACGAGGTACGTAGCATAGTTATGACTCAGGCCTGGGTGGGGTGGCATTTTAACAAGAGAGTGGTTTTTGCTAGAATGTTACCACCTTTTTGTGGATGGGGAAAGAGTAAAATGTCACTCAGATTACCGTGCTCAAAGTGTCCACTTGGTAAAAATGTGGCTGGCTAGTAGAAACCATTTCATCATCAGCACACCATCCAATAAGGAAGAGAGGAAATACCTAATGCTCTGATTACTTGACGGAGGCCCGGCAGCACTGCTGGTTAGGCAGCTGGTTAGGTATTGGGTGCTTATGGCAAAGTCAGTGGTTCAAACCCACCAGCCGGTCTTCTGGAGAAAACTGAGGTTGTCCACTCCAGGGAAGATTTACAATCTCAGAAACCCTATGCAGGGTCACTATGGGTCAGAACTGACTTGATGGCAGTGGGTTTGGTGTTGCTGTTTTTGACAACACGCTGCCTTTCTAAAGAACGAGACAGTTGGTTGACTGATTAAAATGAGTTTGCAATTTGATCATATAACAACTGACTGCAGTGTCAGTCGGTGCCAAATGGGCCTGCTAACAATTCTTTCCAACTCAGAGCTCTCTTCTGCTGATGTAACCGGCCAGCATGGGGATAGCACTGAGAACGGAGCAGCTGGGCCGCTCAGCAGGAGACTTGGGATAAAAGCAATATCAACAATAACAACAAAAGTGTGGAGGAAAAGGGCTAATATTTGCTCAGCCTTTTAAGTCCCATTAGTATCCCTGGGTTAAACTGATTCACTGGCTTTACTATGCATAGAAATGTTATTAGCCAAGTTCTCCAAAGCACTCAATTAAGGAAAAAAACTCTACACATTTGTAGTTCCCAAAGATCCTGAAATTGAGCACTTCTGGCTGAACATCTATACAAGAAAATGAGGCGCATTTATATTACATTGCAAAGAATGGAATTTCGTTTCATTATAATAGATGAGAATTTTTATGTCATCAGAAACCTGAATGATTTCCGATTGCTTTTTTAAAGCTGTTTGCCCGAACCATCTTCACAATATCCCAACCGGTATGAGTTACGAAAGGAAAATATTATAAGATGAAAATATCGAGACTCAAAAAGTTCAAGTGATTTACAAAAGGTCACAGGCTGTAAAACTAACTTCCATAGAGGAATTCCCATCTCTGTGGATTAAAGAAGATAGTGCATTTAACTGTCTGAGTACAAGATTGGGTACAAAATAGCATCCAATGAAATGTAGTTCTTGTCAGTATGGTTGTTTCAATAAAGATAGCACAGCATGCTGTAGACCTGCCAAGGGAACTGCCAACTGGGTCCACACAATCCAGTCAATGTAAAGACTTATGGGTGCCTATGGAAGTCCAGAATCTTTAGGGTGACATCTTTTGGTCTCCTTCAGGACCTCTGGCCGCTAAACTGCAGCCATGAGTTCGGACTCAGAAATGGCTGTTTTTGGGGAGGCCGCCCCTTACCTCCGAAAGTCTGAGAAGGAGCGCATTGAGGCCCAGAATAGGCCCTTTGATGCCAAGTCCTCTGTCTTTGTGGTGGAGCCCAAGCAATCCTTTGTCAAAGGGGTTGTCCAGAGCCGCGAAGCAGGGAAAGTGACAGTCAAGACTGAAGGTGGAGCGGTAAGTACAGCCCCGGGAATCTACCACATTGCATTGATTTTTGCTGGTTTCTTTTGTCACTCGGCTGCCACAAATGGTTACCTTTCCTATTTATCAGACCCTGACAGTGAAGGATGATCAAATTTTCCCCATGAATCCTCCCAAGTTTGATAAGATCGAGGACATGGCCATGATGACCCACCTGAATGAGCCCGCTGTGCTGTACAACCTCAAAGAGCGCTACGCAGCCTGGATGATCTACGTGAGTGGCCCCTTCCTTCCCCTGGTCTTTGTGACCTTTATCATCATCATCATCATCAATACATCCCCTTGCAGCCTGCTGTTGCCATTTATACTATATGGGACTATATGCTGCTTTCACTTGTAGTATAACCAGTTCTCATCAACATTGGGTTAATTCTGATTTATAACAGCCCTATAGGCCAAGGTAGAAGTGTCCCTGTGGGTTTCCAAGACTGTAACTCTTTATGGGAGTTGAAAGCCTCGTCATTCTCCCATGGAATGGCTGACCTTACGGTTAGCAGCCCAACTCATCAGCCACCATGGCACAGGTTTCTTGTTGCCAATGTAAGAGAGGACCCACAACCTTCCATCAGTCCCCCAAAGCCGGGACACCGACGGCCATGCTGACTGGTTTTGCCAAACATCACTTCAGCAGCAATTTGAGTAGCCTCATATGGCAACCCCATGCCTACATCCCCATCCCCTCCCCGCCACTTCAGCTACACAATCTTCTAGAGGGAAAAGATAAACTTGCCTTTCAAAACTTCGAACACATGTTGGGTTCTCACTTATCTAACATAGTAATACTTTGGACCTGTGTGTCTCTTCCCTGCTAGTCTAGAATTAGCTAGTTACCTCCTCCGAGAAAGATGTCTCATTTCCCCAGGAAGAGCTGCTGCTCTGTCCTGTTGCATCTGCCTGCCATCACGCCGGCCTTGTCTTCCTAGGATCATCAATCCACTCGTCTTTTCTCCTGCAGAGTCTCAGAGTTCCTTAAGGGACCCATTTAAGTTCCTTGAGGAGTGCTGGTCACACAGTAGGCATTCAGTAAATGTTTTCTAACAGAATTGCTTGGGCTATATTCATATTTGTGCATAGCCGAACCCGTACGGATGCACAGCCGAACAAGAGCTAGGCAGGTGTACCTGCTGTTTATGGTCTGATCAGCTCTTCTGATTGGTTGATGCCTGTCCTGGACCAGCTGTCAGAGATTTGGAAAATCCCCCTGTTACAATCGTATTAATGTAATTTTGTCTTCTATTTCCTTATAGTTGATAGCATTTTGCAAAATATGTTTTGTGTCACTGTATATAGGTTACATTTCTTTTTTAATTGCCTGCATCATATTGTTGTAGGAAAACTTACATTGTTCACCTAACCAAGCCCTTATTGTCAGGCATTTAAGGGTGTCTACATTTATATCTATATAAGTTTGACATGTCTTAACGTCACAAGGGAGCTATATGGTCATTTCGGATAACAGTAACCGTGCCTCACTGTCTGCATGGACCGAAACAAAAACCACTAGAAACTTCTGCAGTGAGAAGGGCACAGTGACAAGCCTCATGGGGAATGTCATCTACTGTCATCGTTAGTTCCCCTCACATAGATTCTGACTCACAGAGACCCTTTGTAACACCAAAGAAACCCTGCCTGCTCCTGCGCCGTCATCCCGTCATCTTACGTTTGAACACACTATGTGTCAACCCCCTTTTTTCTCTCTCTCATTGACCCTCTGCTCTCTCAGATTGACTCCTTCTAACACACCGTGCCCAGCATCTAGGAGAAGGCTCGCTATCCTCGCTTCTAACAAACATTCTTGCTGTACTTCTTCCAAGACAGATTTGTTCCAACAGTCTGTGACGCACCTACCGAGACTTGGGTTTGGTACACGTTTGTCCTCCAAGTGACCCTTGTGCTTTTTCACAATGTAAAGAGGTGTTTTGTGGCAGATTTTCCCAGAATAGGAATTCCAGAACACTTCATTGTGCTTATTCAGAAACATAGATTGAGGTCGTCATTCGGAGGACAGGAGGCTACTTTTTAGTTCACCTTCAGGAAAGGTGCGTGTCAAGGTTACATCCTCTCATCATGGCTATTGAGCCTAGAGGCTGAGCGCATGATCTGAAAAGCTGGATCTTATGAAGAATGCAGCCTCAAGATGGGACGGAGATTCATTTAGAGCCTGCAATAGGCAGACTTGTGCTTTTTACTTACTTATTGCAGGTTGTTAATGAGTCTGCCTCCAGTCTTGATCGTGGATTCTTTTTTATTTTATTTTAATTTTTTTATTGGCTGTTAATACATATAGTATCATTCCACAGTGCAATCACATCAAGCAGTATTGTACAATGGCTACCACAATCCGTTTCCAAACATTCTTTTCCTTCCAGGATTCCTTGACATCGTTTCTCTTTTACCCCCACCAGTGTATCCCACCTGCGACCCTTATTCTACTTGCCGTCCCTATAGGTTCATGAATCCTGGGTTTCATGTACCAAAAAAACAGGAAAACATGTAACACAAATTCAAGAGTATAACATATAACACATGTGAGATAACCCCCAATATGAACAAATGAAAAAAGACAGAAAATGTTGAAAACCAGATCAGGTCCAGCATGCATGGTGGGGCGGGGGGCGGGGGGGTGGGGGCGTGGGGGTGTGGATCAAGCAACAAAGCTTAAACTGTTCTAGTCAGGTGGATCTCTTTGATCTTGATAGTGCAGTTTCTCAGCTTATGCGCTCAGCATGCAGATTGAACAAGTATGGTTACAAGAGCCCTGGAGCTGTGGTTATCAGCTGGCCTGGTAACTGCCTAACAGGTCAGCAGTTCAAAACCACCAGCTGGCTCCTCAGAGAGGGATGAGGCTTTCTACTCCTGGAAGAGTCCCCGTCTCTGAAAGCCGCAGGGGCAGGGGCACCCCGTCCTAGAGGATCGCTGCGAGTCAGAACTGACTCCATAGCCAGGAGCTTGGGTTGGGGTTTGGCTTTTGAGTCTTTCATGAAGAATTTTAGTTGTGGAAGCTTCCAACTAGTTTTCATGCTGGTGCCTTGAAATGTTCACACTATTCATTTAGCATGCTCAGTTTTTGTTAACATTCATGTAGTTAGGGTATTGCAAAAATAATAGGCAGGGTCTCTGATAATCATTCTTCCTTTTGCTCTTGTGTAGACCTACTCTGGCCTCTTCTGTGTCACCATCAACCCCTACAAGTGGCTGCCGGTGTATAACCCCGAGGTGGTGGGTGCCTACCGAGGCAAAAAGCGCCAGGAGGCCCCTCCCCACATCTTCTCCATCTCTGACAACGCCTATCAGTTCATGCTGACCGGTGAGTGAGCGGAGGGCCTTGTAAGTGGGTCATCTTTTGAAAGCAGAACCATAGGAGGAAGAAACAGCAGCCAATCTCAGTGTGGTCTGGGAAATAAATGGTCACCTTTTGTTGAAGGGGGCATATTTGCAGGAGAGAGTGCTCCAGTAAGAAGAAAATGTACAATCCCTAATATTACATCCATTTCAGTCTCCTAAACTCTTCCAAGAAGAAGACATCAAAATAAACTTACTTTTGCCTAAAAAACAACAGAAACCACTAATGACCAGTTCCAAACGGACCATCTTAACTGTGCCTCTGCACAGACACAAACATTACCCCAGTGCCCATGTTTCTCTTTATTGTGCCCACAAGAGCTGTCACCAAGCTAAGCTCTGCTGTAAGCCTCTTGAAGAACCAAACCCACGTCCGATCTTTTCTTAGTGGGAGAGTATCAAAAAGAACAGTCTTCCAGGGGTATACAGTTATAAGAGCATACATACTATGGCTTTCAAAGCTTTTTTTTTATAAATGAAACAGGGAATCTTTTTATTTTATTTTTTTAAAGGAAATATTTCTTGGGAGACTTGAATGTAAGACACATAAAGGTGGGCATGCTCTTTGGGGGTGGGGGGAAGTCGATGTGCCCAGTTTCAGTAGGTGAGGGTAGGAGGGCATGGGGGTGTAAGTGGTGGGGCAGTGGGGAGTACAGAGAGGCAGGATAGACTGTGGTTGCTGTTATTGTTGCTCAGTGCCATCAAGCCCATGTCTATGGACAAAAGGACAAAACACTGCCTGGTCCTGTTCAAAGGAGCGTGGATTAGATGTTGATGTGGTGGATTAGATGCTAGATCTGGAAGGCTAGATGGAAAGGTTAGCAGTTTAAACCCATCAGCTGCTCCTCCAGAGAAAGATGAGGCTGTCTGCTCCTGTAAAGATTTCAGATCTGGTAAAGCCTGTATAGAGTTCCTAGCGGGTGGGAAAAGGCATCCTTGTGACATAGTGCATTACGCGTGTTGGGCTGCTAACCACAGAGTCACCAGTTCAAAACTACCAGTCCCTTCCTGGAAGAAAAATGAGGTTTTCTTTCCTCTACTTCTTTAATGCTTCCTGCCCCCCCCCACTATCATGACCCCAACTCTACCTTACAAATCCGGCTATACCAGAGCATATACATTGGTACAGATAAGAGCTAGAAACACAGGGAATCCAGGACAGATAAACCCCTCAGAACCAATAATGAGAGTAGCGATACCAGGAAGGTTAGAATAAGGTGGGGGAGAAAGGGGGACCCAATCACAATGATCTGCACATAACCCCCTCCCAGTGGGATGGACAACAGAAAAGTGGGTGAAGGGAGACATCAGTCAGTGTAAGATATGAAAGCAAAATTTTATAAATTATCAAGGGTTCATGAGGGAGGGAGGGGGGAAATGAGTTGATGCCAAGGGCTCAAGTAGAAAGAAAATGTTTTGAGAAGGATGATGGCAAGAAATGTACACATGTGCTTGACACAATGGATGGATGGATGGATGGATTGTGATACGAGCTATAAGAGCCCGTAATAAAATGTTGTTGTTGTTTTTTTAAAGAAAATAGTTACAATCTCAGAAATCTGCAGGAGCAGTTCTACTCTGCCCTATAGGGTCTCTATGCATCAGATTAAACTCAACAGCAGTGAGTGGGTGGGATAAATTGGAATGGGCTAATTGGCAGTGGGTTTCTTTATTTGGTTGGTTTTAGGGCTCACCAAGCTCACCAACGGGCTGCAAATCCCAGTTTGAAAATTGCTCAGTACCTTCCATTTTATTTATCATTTACAAGTAAATAAGAAAACAGTGTAAAACGTCTCCAAATTTTCTTTGCAGACCGAGAGAATCAGTCAATTCTGATCACGTAAGTAGAATTTATGTTCTGGTGCTTATGAAAAAAAAAAAAGACAAGAATATATTTCATTTTGTAAAATGGCTTGAGGTTTACAGAAAAATGAGACCGAAAGTACAGAGATCTCCCATCTTACCTCTCTAGCCCCGCTCCCCCAAGGTTCCCTCCATTCATAGTTTCCCCTAAATGAACATCTTCTGGTCCATCAGTGACAATTGATGAGTGGCTAGTATGATATTATCATGAACTACAGTCCATAGTTTATGTTCAGGTTCATGATTTGTATCGCATCGTTCTGTACGTATTGAGAAATAGGACAGTATCATGCACAACACTTTTACTGTCCTAAAAGTACTTTGTAATTCACCCGGTGATTCTTCCCTTCCTCCTCTGAAACCTCTGACCGCGCTGGCTCCGTGGTTTTCTCTTTTCCGCGACGTCGTTCATATGTTTTCTTTTAATGGTGGTCGTGCCTGTCACTTTGGGGGCCCTGATCTGATCTGGTCTTGGCTTGGCAGCGGAGAATCCGGGGCAGGGAAGACGGTGAACACCAAGCGGGTCATCCAGTACTTTGCAACAATTGCAGTCACTGGGGAGAAGAAGAAGGAGGAAGCGACTTCCGGCAAAATGCAGGTGGGGCTGGTCGCCATGGCTGGCGTCTCGGGAAAGGAATTCTCAGGTCTACATGTGTTGACTGTTCTTTCCCTCGCAGGGGACACTGGAAGACCAGATCATCAGTGCCAACCCCCTGCTGGAGGCCTTTGGCAACGCCAAGACCGTGAGGAACGACAACTCCTCCCGCTTCGTGAGTCTCTTGGAAGTGACTACTGACACCTTTGTTGGCAAAATGTTGAGAGCTTTCTGAAGACGTGCTCTGAGCCTTTTAAATTTGGGATACAGTGAACCCTCATTTATCGCGGTTAATCGGTTCTAGACTCTACCGTGATAAATGAAATTCCGCGAAGTAGGATTCCTTATTTGTAAAGCAAATATTTTCGTAGTTAGAGCATAGAGGACATGAAATAACACCCTTTAGTCACCATTACACTCGTATTACCCAATTTATTAAACGAAAAAGGGAAAATACAGTAAAACATTTTGGATGTTACAATTATCATTTATTATTTATTATATTATTTATGGCATCAAGCGTGTACAGTATGAGCCAATCAGTGGCAGTAATGACAGAGCATGCGCTGTTACGCAAAAATCGCGACAGAGTGAAGCCGTGGAAGTCGAAGCGCGAAGTGACGAGGGTTCACTGTATATCACATTCTGACGGTATCCTTCTTCTCTGAGTATGTCATCATATGGATCACAGCCCCATCTAAAAGAGTATGTGTGACTTTTCTTTATCGGTCATACAGTTAGATACAAATGTTAATATCACAGATAGAATTATTTTACCCACCAAATAGGGGCACAGCTTTGTTCATAGCTGATATGAGTAGCCTCTGAGTTGATTTAGTAGCAAAATAGCATCTGCAGGACTTTGAGTCTCTCAAAAACTTGGTGCTATTAAGAAAAAAACAATAGCAATCATTTTAATTGTGCTTTCAAGGGCAAATTCATCAGAATCCACTTTGGCACTACAGGAAAATTGGCTTCTGCTGACATTGAAACATGTAAGTATCTGATATCGAATTCTTTTCAGTTAGGGCTTAAGTATCCTTTGGAATCATTTCTGTTTCTTCTGACCTGTAAAATTCACTAATAATCAAATCTGCATCATGTAAAATTTGACAACTTCCCCATTTGTTATTTGTTTGCTTCCAGATCTGCTAGAGAAGTCTAGGGTTACCTTCCAGCTTAAGGCTGAAAGAAGCTATCATATTTTTTATCAGATCACATCAAACAAGAAACCAGAGCTTATTGGTAAGAAATCACATACTTTCCTTCTTAGACTAACTACACAGGCATGTATAAATTCAGGATCCAACCTAGTATGCTACTCATGCATTTTGTTGAGTTTATATTTTTATTTTTGTAATTTGATTTATAATTTTTGTACATTTGTATATGCCCATTACAAAAATTCCCAAGAAAAACAAGGAAAATGAAAAAAAAGTACACTGAAAATCTACCACTATGATGTAACCACTGTAAACGTTTGGATGGCTACCATTTTTGTAATTTCCTATCTATAACTTTACATATACATAGTTGAACATTTTTTAAAAGTGGAATAATAGTTATAGGCTCAACTATATGTATTTTTAAACTGAGCAGTGTTATGGATTTTTCCATTTCAATAACTATAGCTCTTCATAATTTTAATGGTGTCCTATTCCATTCTAGAGATAACTTAATCACACTTTTAGGATCTATTTATTCATATGTTAACCAGGGATCATATACTACTTTAGATCTTGTCTAGAATTTGCTTGTTTTGTGGAGAGACTAATTCTATGGATATTTGTTCTATCCCATGTATAAAGAAATGCTTCTGATTACCACAAACCCTTATGATTATCCATTCGTCAGTCAAGGGGAAATCAGCGTGCCCAGCATTGATGACCAGGAAGAACTGATGGCCACCGATGTAAGTTGAACACAAGAAAATTAGAATTGCTGTGTCGGATTGGCACAATGGTTCTTTTCTGCTTCCGTAACGATTTACAGCCTTGGACACCCAAAGAGGGCAGTTCAACTGCTCTGTCACTGTGAGTTAGAATGGAGTCCATCGCTATGAGTTTGAAGTTGGACTAGAAATAGCCAAGGTGTAGCCAAGCATGAAGAGGGGTATGCTTCTTGAAGCCATCTGACAAGATTATGATATTTTACTTTCTTTCCCTCAATAATCTCCCAAACAACTATCATTTCTGAATTTACCTAATTTAAAAAAAAATCTTCTGGCACTAGACACATACCAACTGTCAAAACCAGCTCCTTCTGTTTCCTAGTGTTGTTCTCATCCTTTTAACCTTTTGAATCTTCCGTGCCCTGATCATCCTAATACTTTGCACTGACGTCTAAGGGCCTCCTTGGCTCCATTAGTGTGGTCATGCCCTCTGCTTGATCAACGGTCAAGAATGGGATCGTGAATTGTGAGCAGTAAGTGTGTCGATCCGAATCTAACAGCTACCCTGCTGTTTACATCGGCAGAGTGCTATTGACATTTTGGGCTTTACGAATGAGGAGAAGGTCTCCATCTACAAGCTCACTGGGGCTGTGATGCATTATGGAAACATGAAATTCAAGCAAAAGCAGCGTGAGGAGCAGGCAGAGCCCGACGGCACTGAAGGTAGAAGTGTACTCATCCACCTGATTTCACATTCCTTTGCAAACCACAGTCTTAACTGTTTACCTTGAGTTTTCCTAGAACTTCTAAGAGTTAAGTAGAGTTAAGTGGGACACTCAGTGAGGGAGCTGTGGTGGCTCAGGGGGTTGTGAGTTGGGCTGTTAACCACAAGGTTCACAGTTCAGACTCACCACTTGCCCTGTGGGAGAAAGATGGGGCGGTCTACTCCTATAAAGATTTCCAGTCTAGAAAGCCCTAGGGAGTGGTTCGATTCCGTCTCACGGGGTTGCTATGTTTTGGAATTGACTCGATGGCAGTGGGTTCGGTCTTGGTGGGAAACCAAGTTATGCATGTTTGGTTCTTAAGATTTCTAAGTTCTGAAGAGTGAATTACTCATAATAAAGGTCTTGAACTTGTTGAAAAATAGGCAAGATATTTTAAAAGATGCCTTAAACACCATCGCACAAAATAATTTTAGCTTAAATCACACATTTTAAAAAAGAAAGTAAGTTTCTTTGGGCCATTACAACATGGTATCTTTACTTCCTTTTAGTTGCTGACAAGGCAGCCTATCTCCAGAGTCTGAACTCTGCTGACCTGCTCAAAGCCCTCTGCTTCCCCAGGGTGAAGGTCGGCAACGAGTACGTCACCAAGGGCCAGACTGTAGAGCAAGTAGGTGCTTAATTCAAATTGACCAGCAGTGATGTAAACATGTTTAAAGTTCTCTAATAACACCAGGAGTTCTATCTTTGTCTCTCAAGGTGACCAACTCAGTGGGTGCCCTGGCCAAGGCCGTCTACGAGAAGATGTTCCTGTGGATGGTCACCCGCATCAACCAGCAGCTGGACACCAAGCAGCCCAGGCAGTACTTCATCGGGGTGCTGGACATCGCTGGCTTCGAGATCTTTGATGTGAGTTGTCTGGGGAAACAAGTGACCCTCAGAGCATTCTCTCCTCGTGTCTTCTTTGCTACCCTCCCGATGGATTGCCCCAGTTCACTCAAACTCTTTGGTGTTTAAAACACCAGTATAACAGCCTGGAGCAGCTGTGCATCAACTTCACCAACGAGAAGCTGCAGCAGTTCTTCAACCACCACATGTTCGTGCTGGAGCAGGAGGAGTACAAGAAGGAGGGCATCGAGTGGACCTTCATCGACTTCGGGATGGACCTGGCTGCCTGCATCGAGCTCATCGAGAAGGTAGCCTCTCCTCCCTACCCAGCCCCTTCGTAACCTCCGCTGCTCCTTACCGTCTGCCTACTGACCCCGTGTGTCTTCACGCCTAGCCCATGGGCATCTTCTCCATCCTGGAGGAGGAGTGCATGTTCCCCAAGGCCACAGACACCTCCTTCAAGAACAAGCTGTACGAACAGCATCTTGGAAAATCCGCCAACTTCCAGAAGCCCAAGGTTGTTAAAGGCAAGGCTGAGGCCCACTTCGCGCTGATCCACTACGCCGGCACAGTGGACTACAGTGTCACCGGCTGGCTGGACAAGAACAAGGACCCCCTGAATGATACCGTGGTCGGGCTGTACCAGAAGTCTGGCCTGAAAACTCTGGCTAACCTCTTCTCAGGGGCCCAGACTGCTGAAGCAGGTAACACTCAGACATTTAGCGCCTTCTCTAGCCATTATAAAAGACAGTATTCGATGGAGGGTGATGATCTCATTTCTAGCCCTGGCAGCAAGGTCTAAGGATGACTACCTGATTCCTTTAGATTTTGCGTAGGTAAAGTGTGGACTGCTATGATTCTCTGGCTTCTTTCAAAACTATCTGTAAATGATGACACCCTTCCTTCTTTTTTTTCTCCAGAGGCCAGTGGGCCTGCCAAGAAGGGTGGTAAGAAGAAGGGCTCCTCCTTCCAGACGGTGTCTGCCCTGTTCAGGGTAAGAAGAGCCGGGGTCGGGCACCCCTGGGTGACTTGGAGTGTTTGCTTTGGAAGGCATAGGCTTTGCCCTCCCTGCCCGCCCCAGGTCACTTGGGAGGGGACAAGCAGTCATGAATGACTCCTATTGATCGAGCACTGGGGAGAAGGATTTTAAATGACTCCGTCTGTACTGGCTCCCCTTTCATCTTAAACCAAATCATGGAAAGTATTTTAGAGGACTTTTCATGAAACATGACACTCTGGGTAATGATCTAGCTGAGTCGTGAAAATAAACACCGACATAAACGCGGAGACCCAACTACATCTGGAAGACCCATGAAACGCTGGTAGTCCGCTTACAAGGAACTTGATGGGTATCCTTGTTCTGAAGTCCATCCGTGCACAGTGATAACTGATGGGATTATTCCTCCCGTGGATCATCTTTATGCCCCCCACACGGAGAGAGCTGGAAAAGCGGGGAGGGGTGCCTGTGTTTGTCTGGAAAATGGAAAGTGCGGTGCTGGGCTGTATGTTCTTATTGGCGAGCTATGGAGTTTCATAGGAGAAAGAGTATGGAATGACCGAGGGAATGCTCTTGCTGAATGCGTGGCAGGCACGGCCAGGGACCCAGCAGAATGAGGCTGACTTAAGGTGAGAAGAATCCCCAGTCAGGCTGCTTTCTATGTGTATTTCCTGCCAACTCCTGGAGAAAGACCCAAGAGAGCTTCCAAAAGTGGTTGGGAAAATTCGATTATCTTTTAATTCCATTTTCCCATCAACTTTTCAAGAGGGAAAACCCATCTCAGGCGAAGCACAAAAAGGTCCTACCTGGGCCATTCAACTCAGCTACAGATAATGTTTGTCAGAGTCTAAAGCCTAAGCCCGCGATAACAGGGTCCCCCCGGCCCCTCCAATTTTACAGGAGAATCTGAATAAGCTGATGACCAATTTGAGGAGTACCCACCCCCATTTTGTGCGGTGTATCATCCCCAATGAGACCAAAACTCCTGGTAAGACGTTCCAGAATGAAGGCACAAAGCCTGGTGGCCCACTCCTTTCTTTGAGCCCTGCAGTGAACAAGCTGTGTGTTTTGTAGGGGCCATGGAGCATGAACTTGTGCTGCACCAGCTGAGGTGTAACGGGGTGCTTGAAGGCATCCGCATCTGCCGGAAGGGGTTCCCCAGCAGAATCCTCTATGCAGACTTCAAACAGAGGTCAGACTCTGCTTCTCATGGCTCGTCTTGCAGTTGAGCACAAATTTAAGGCAAACTGGAACATTTAAGGAGAAATATACTTCTAGCTCCGATGTTTAATTTGTTACAAAAAGGGAATACAAAGTTGTAAGCCCCCAAATACCTTAAAATATAAGTATCTTGCCTTATAGTACTAGGTAAAATTTCCATTGAGTTCACCACACTTGTGGCTTAAATCATAGTTCTTTACAGTAACCTGAATACCAACATAAAGCACTACCATTTTTGAGCACTTGCTATGTACAAGGGAGCTTCAAAAGTTTGTGGTGAAAATATTTCATTTTCATCTTCCATTTTCCCAAGAACGTTTTGAAGCTGCTCCCTATCCTACCCATTACCTCACTGACAACAAAACGACAGTAATGCCTCATTTTATAGATGAATCAACAGAGGCTCAAAGAAAATAGGCTGTTTGCCCAAAGCCACACAACTCCCATAGAGTCACAGAGAAGTCACTTTCTGTTACTCTGATTAGTATTACGTATCTTCATCTTTTTCTCTCACACACTAATTTCCCAGTCAGGGTACAACACAACAACCAGTCCTCTTTCTCCTTGCCAGAGAAGCCCATCTTGGGCATCAAAGAAGAGCAGAGGGATTGAGGTGGATGGCAGTTGCATAGAGTTGGGTGTAATCGGGTTGACACAGGCCCCCAGGGGTCATGAGCCAAAGCACCCCAGTAAGATAGCAATCTTCTGAGTAGTTTGATTTTATACGATTAGGACATTTTCCCATGCCACATTGCACAATAAAAACTGTCTTCTTCGAACTCAGAAGCTTAACAAATAACTGTTTCCAGCAAGGAGAACATACCACGTTTTATCAGTCATCTATAACTCACTATGAACAAGATTATTCACATTCCTGAGAACAGGGTCTGATGAGGGGAAAGGAAACCTACAAATGTACAGGGGGAAAAACCCGGAGTTGACAGTGATTTCCTGTCATGCAAAGAATAATAGTAAAATTATCCATAATAATTAAAAATAGCTTTCACTTTTTAATGGACCGTTTAATGTTTAGCTTAACATTCGTGTCCTCAGTAAGTTGTTTTTTTAAAGGCTCTATCTACTTTAACAGATACAAGGTGCTAAATGCAAGTGCCATCCCCGAGGGACAATACATCGACAGCAAGAAGGCTTCTGAGAAGCTGCTGGGATCTATTGACATCGACCACACCCAGTATAAATTTGGTCACACCAAAGTAATGAGGATTTCCATTTAAATCTGATGCAAATCATGCCCTTTGGGGACTTGATGTGGCGTCAAGTAATGACTGATCCGAACGTTGTCCACCTGCAGGTCTTTTTCAAAGCGGGTCTTCTGGGGCTCCTGGAGGAGATGCGAGATGACAAGCTGGCCCAGCTGATTACCCGGACCCAGGCCATGTGCCGCGGGTTCTTGGCCAGGGTGGAGTACCAGAAGATGGTGGAGAGAAGGTACGAAACCATGGATCTATTGGTCTTTTCCTTCTTCAGGAATACACTTGAGGGAGCTTATAATAAAGATTCCTTTGTAAGTGCACCGCAGTAAGAAGAAACAAATGAGTCTTGTGGATATAGCTGGATATATATCATACGAATGCATATGTACCTCAAAACCAATGGTGGGGGGTCTTCATCATGAAATATGTCCCACATTTGCAAGTTAAAAACAAAACAGAGAAGCCGAGAGTGTGCCTGGTTTTCATCTATCTAATGTAATCGTATCATAATGAGCAATTAGCAAGTCTTTGCCCATCTTCCTCCAAATATAAGTGGTTTCCTTTGCACTTTTGAAAGCAGTTGAGGACAGGGTTAGGGTAGGACCTACAACTCTCCCTGGTGATGTTGGTCACATTTTCTCCCCCACACTGGATCTTGATTTGTACCAATTCCATTTCAGGGAAGCCCTGTTCTGCATCCAGTACAACGTCCGCTCATTCATGAATGTCAAGCACTGGCCCTGGATGAAGCTCTTCTTCAAGATCAAGCCCCTGCTGAAGAGCGCGGAGACCGAGAAGGAGCTGGCCACCATGAAGGAGGAGTTTGGCAAAATCAAAGAAGAGCTCACCAAGTCAGAGGCCAAACGGAAGGAGCTGGAAGAAAAGATGGTATCATTGTTGAAAGAGAAAAATGACTTGCAGCTTCAAGTTCAGTCTGTAAGTTGTGGTGCCATCTGGGTCCTATCAAGGGGATACAAGACCTAGAACTCTGGCCAACATCAGGAGTGGGTTGAGTAGTCACCCCGGGGGACAGTCATTGGAGAGAAGATGAATGCTCTCAGGGGAATGTATTAATAAAAGCCCAGTATATTCCTCCATTGCCCAACCAGCACTAGGGCAATAAGGTGCAGTTTCAACTCTACACAGTGTCATCAAAGTTTGGGCTGCAAACCACAAGGTCAGTTGTTCAAACCCACCAGCTGCGCTGCAGGAGAAAAAGATGAGGCATTATATTCCCCATAAAGAGTTAAAGTCTTAGAAACCCACATAGGCCATTCTACCCTGTCCTATAGGGTCCTTGTGAGTCAGAATCAACTTGATGGCAGTGAATGTGGAGCGAGTGACACTATTGAAGCCCCCCTGTGCTGCAAGCAGTCAAAGACAAGTTGAAGCTTGGCAGTGTGAACCCTACCGAGGATGCCTCAGATGAAAGAGCTGGCAATATGCTCCTGAAAACAGCCTTAAAACCCGGTGGAGTAGTCCCATTCTGCAGACGTGCCATAGAGTTGCCATGAGTTGGAATGGACAGCAACCAACCATACCATCTGTACCTACTTTTCCATTCAGAGACAGTCCTTACAAGTGATTGTAGCATGAATCAATCTCATACAAAATAATGAAGCAGGGCTATCATAGACAGTGAGTTTTGTCCCTCGGAAACGTCCTGAAATCACCAGATGCACATCTAAATTCAAACACAAACACTGCCATCAGGTCGACGCCGACTCATCGCAACCCCAGAGGGCAGGGTAGACCTGTCCCTGTGGCTTTCTGAGGCTATAACTCTTAGCACAATCCATACACACATCCATTGTGTCAAGCACATTTGTACATTCATTGCCCTCATCATTCTCAAAACATTTGCTCTCCACTTAAGCCCCTGGCATCAGTTCCTCGGTTTTCCCCTCCCTCCCCGCTGCTCCCTCCATCATAAACCCTTGATAATTTATAAATTATTATTTTGTCATATCTTGCCCTGTCTGACGTCTCCCTTCACCCACTATTCTGTTGTCTGTCTCCCAGGGAGGAGGTCACGTGTAGTGTAATCAGCTCATCCTTGCAGAAGGTCACATCCGTGTAATTGGTTCCCCCTTTCCAACCCACCCTCCCTCCACCATCCCAGTATCACCGCTCACACCACTGGTCCAGAAGGGACCATGAAACATACAACTTTCCTCTAGTTCCTAAATGCTTCCTCCTCCCCCACTATCATGATCCCAATTCTACCTTACAAATATGGCTAGACCAGAGGATGCACACTGGTACAGATAGGAACTGGAAACACTGGGAATCCAGGGCGGATGATCCCTTCAGGAGACTATAACTCTTAGTGTGAGTACGCTGCCTCACTTTTAAAGCCTGCAGAGAAGCTGGTAGTTTTGAACTGCTGAGCATGCAGTTAGTAACCAACTATGCCAACCTCTAGTAATTGCAATGTACACATTGTATGTGTGACCGTATTGGACATCTAAGTTTATTGAGTCGTTGAGTGTTAGCAGTTGTTAAAATTCTGATTCACCTTGTTTGGTCCATCTCCACCATCCTGGGACAGCACACGTGGATGACTGTAGTGAAGCTCAGTGGTCTGTCCCCCCAGCAAACCTCCCTCTCCTTCTAGCAGCTTGCTCACTGTTCACTGCCCTCTCTGGACTGCTTGCAGCCATTTGGAAATCTAATTTATAAGAACTGCATTTCATTGGAAGGAAATTGAATTGGTCTGGTCTAATTTACTCATCACAATTTCATATATTTTTTTCCTGCTGATTGAATTTGGACAGTATATTACACTGTTCTCTGTCAAATTCGGACATTATAATAACTCCTTCTAGGTTACAGAAGAAGAAGGAGGCTCCCCCCCCCACCCCACTTCTTTTTCCTCTAATCCATCCGATTCTTTTGTTTTCTCCAGTGAATTATTCAGAATCTGCCTTCCACCACTAGTCATGTATTGCTTAATGCCCAAGATACAGCCTGTGAAATAGGATGCTGTGTGCAATCATCATGATAGACAGACAATCCCTGGATTATTAAAAAGTTTGAACAGCATCATAAATCTGTTCAATTTGATCTGTACATAAGTTTATACTTAGGTATCGAATGCCAGTTAATCAAACTTCTGTCTTAGTATATATTATACAGTGTACCTTCTAATGCATAAACATCAAAAAAGCACTTCTAGCTACACTAAAACACTTAAACATCACCATACAAACTACCCCCAAACTCAAAATTCATTGCCATCAAGTTAATCCCAACTCATAATGACCCTAGAAGACAGAGAGGTACTGTTTCTGTGGGTGTCCAAGACTGTAAATCTTTACAGGAGTAGCAAGACTCATCTTTTCCCCATGGAGCAGCCGGTGGTTTTGAACTGCTGACCTTGCAGTTAGCAACCCAACCTGTAACCCACTATGCCACTAGCATTCCTTTAAACTATAAAAGACTTCAAAACTTTGTGGGGCAAAATGGCATTAAAGTTAATGGATTTTCCCCATGAATTTTTGAAGCCCACCCGATACACTAATAATAATTAAAATAATATTTCGATTTATATCACAATGTAGTGCCGACCTGTTATTATGAACCATTGTATATACCTTGAATTTTAAATAGTAGGCTTTCTGGGCATTGAGGCCACAGATATATACGCAGTCAGAAGCTGCCTGAAAGGATCCGTGCATGACTGCGCAATATATTCACGACCTGGCTTTTGAGAAACATATCTTATTCTTTCGTGTATGTAAGCAATTGCTGTAGAATGTTACTGCATTCCAATTTCTCTCCCATTTTTCCCCACCCCTGGTCCCCGTCATTAAAAACACATTGCCTCAACTTGAACTTAGAGCAATATGCTCAAGATCCTCCTCCAGCACGACAGCAAAAGAGGAAAAAAAACCATCAGTAGCCATTGCATCTTGAAATTTTTATGCTGCGAACCCATCTCCTGTTTCTCCATCACCCGAACCATTTATTTCTGTCAAATCAAATTCTACCCATGTCTCAAGGCCAAAATCTATTGTCACGTTTGTCATGAACCCATCTTGGATCAAACGTCTCTGGTGGCTAGGTGAATGGTTTCTACCGTTAATGATGGGTTTGGAGGTAGACTTTTCTTATCACTGTAGAACAAACTCTTCTGAAGGAGCCAGACACCAGCTGACACATCTGGTTGGCCCACAAGGGAGAGAGCTTGCATTTGCATAGTGCAGGTGCTTCGTCAAATAAAACTTTGCTAAGACGCAAATAAAAGAAGGTAGGAAATGCGAAGGACGGACAGTGGAAATGTGCACGGTTATCACTGTAAAGTATTTCCTTCTTTCATCCCGATTTTAACTTTATTTCCAATTCCAGGAAGCTGAAGGCTTGTTGGATGCAGAGGAGAGATGCGACCAGCTGATCAAAACCAAGATCCAGCTGGAGGCCAAGATCAAAGAGGTGACAGAGAGGGCTGAGGACGAGGA